TGTTCATTTGAGCCGTGTCAATTTATGCATCCCTACATCCCTACTAATATTATAAATGTCAAAGTGTGTATGTATGTTTGTACACCTATGTTCAGTCCGTTTTCACTCCAAAACGGCTAAACCCATTTTGATGAATTTCAGCGCACTGGGGGTCCCAAAAGTATGGACACCCAAATACCTCGGAAACTGAGGATGCTAGAAAAAATTTTAAAAGCAAAAGTTTTAGGAAATTAAACGGCGCATCTAGTGGTGACCTTGGATTTGACGTTGAAATTCATTTCAAAGGCAAGACGCTTTTTTCAAATAGGAACCCCCATTTTTATTGCAAAAATAGAATTTCAAAATAAATTTTGTCATCAACGATATAAAATATCATAGGGGTTAAATTATATCTAGAGGTTATTTCAAGGTCAACTGTTGCTGTTTCACGGACTGTTGTGAAGCAGAGACTAGTTTGAAAAAGAAGAATATTAAAGAAGATGTTTTAACGTGAAAATTGCAAGAACCAAACGTCGTGTCTGATGGTGACCTTCATTCTGAGCTTGGCTATAACCTTGAAGGTTAATTTAAGGTTAAACTCTAAAAACATGTAAACCCTCAATTTTGATGCCAGCGCTGAAAATTTTCAGAGGTTTAATTAACGGATGTCAAATCACACCCAGAGGTTATTTCAATCTTATATCATCAGTTGTTTTGCTTTAAAAAAATACATTAAGTAAACATTGTAATGCTTTTAATTGTAACAGGCCTCAAAGAACAGAGTCGCAAGGTATCTCTCGATTTTTGGAATGAATAACTCTATTATTTTGTGCGTGCCTCAAAATTCTATTGCTCCTTTTCTTTGGTACTAAAGGATTGTTGCTAGTTCTATCCTGATGGTATTATTGGTAATGAGAAAGCCGAAATAGCTATAGGCTATAAGTTTTCATATCACAGCCATTGAACATGAAATTGTTCTCCATTGTCAGCTCCGGGATCAAAATTGAGGGTGCCCGGTTAAAAAAATCAATTTGACCCTGAATTGACATTCAAGATCATAGTCAAGGTCAGAATGAAGGTCACCATCAGATGTGCCGTTGGGTGTCCTGCAATTTTTGCATAAACAGTTATTCTTTAATAATCCCCTTTTTCCAGCTATCCATGGAAGAGCAACAGTTGACCTTGAAATAACCTCTAGATATAATTTTAGCCGTTATGATATTTACACCGTTGAAACGGATTTGTTTTTGGCTTTCTATTTCTGCAATAAAAAATAGGGATTCCTATTTGAAAAAAATACGCTTGCCTTTGAAATGACCTTCAAACTGAATGCCATCATTAGATATGCAAATTGATTTCTTAAAACTTGTATTTAGTTTCTTTTCCGAATATCTTTAGATTCCGATATATTTGGATATGTCCACACTTTAGGAATATATACTGGGTGTGCTGAAAGTTGGGACTTTCCTTTTCAGAGCAAACTCCGTTCGGATGGCAATTGAAAATTGAAGAGCAGGGGGGAGGAGATAACGGGTGCATGCTTAAACACTTAAGAAAAGCTGCTGAGAGCAGACGCGCTTTATTACTTTCACTTTATACGGACTGTCAAAGTTGTGCGAAGATAAGTAGTTCCTAGTCCCAAAGAAGTATACCAGCGTCTTTGTACTCGCTGATCTGAACCCCGACAAGCTGAAATGAATAACTTCCCAATGCTCGACCACACATAGCTACCGCATGTGCCCTTGCTAGGTAAGGTGCAGTAACTGTTCCCTGGAAGCTTTAAATTGATCTGTTATGAAACTACCAAACTTTTAGTGAGTTGTCGTTTTCATAAAGATATCTTTTTTCTTTATTTTTCAACGTCTTCCAGCTACAAATATTGTCCACTGAGACAAAAAGGTGATAGTACCAGATCGTTTTACTAAAGCCATATACTTAGTCCTGAGTGGGTTCTTGACTTGTAAATAGTGAGAATATCTAACTTATAAAAACATTACAAAAAAAAAATATTTTTCCATCTGCCCTGAGCAAAAATACTCTGAGACTAGCACTGACGCTCTGACAGATCGCCGGACGACGGGCTTCCGGTATTCTCATTTTACGGGAAAAATGTGCTATGGATGAAGTAGCACTTTGTATGGCATGAAAGGCTTTCAAGGAGCCCTGATGGCCAGCTGAAATTAAAACCAATATTTGATCCAACTTCGTTCCTACAGGGAGGGACGAAGGCCGAGGACCATCGGGAGCTTGACGGTCCATCTTGAAATCCTCCACTGTCTCATATCTGCACAGGTCTAACTAGTCATACTTATCATGGATTTTGATTCACTTAGGCCCGTATCGTCAGTCGTTCCTACAATAATTGTAGGGCGCGTTTGTGGCCTCCTTGATTGTCATACTCCTTTCTCTCCTTCAAAAATTTCTAGATTACACTTGTCCCGTGTCAGCGTCAGCGCTCTCCTATTGTGAAGATATGTTTTCTTTTTAAATTGTAGGAAATTTCAGGCTGATAAGACATGATATAACTCAAAAGCAAGCACAATTTGATGCAAATAGATGTTTGTGACATAACCTCAAAATAGAGTGCTGACACGGAGAAGTAGAAAACTATGACAATCAAGGAGGCCATAAAGGCGTCCTACAATTGTACTGACGATACGGGCCTTAACCTTAACTAATTGAGCTGAAATTTTATACGAACGTTCGGTTTGCGTGACAATACAAAATGAATCTACTGTCGCCATTTTGAATCCAATATGGCGGATAATACAAAATGGCGATTAATCATTTCCATAGAAACCGTATGAAACGGGTATCAAATGTTGAAAAAAACGCATTAAGCATCATGATGTCATTCTAAACTCAATACGGTGACTGCCGCAAAAGTCGGTTTACATTTTTCAAAAAAAAGGACACGTGAGAAACGCAACAAGCAAAGTGATGTCATTCCAAATCCAATACGGTGACCGCGCCAAGATGGCGTTATCAACTATCATAGTCACCCCTATGATACAAATTTGAGAGCAATATAACAAGCAATGCCATGCCACTCTAAATCCAGTATGGCGACCATCGCAAAATTGTGATAATTTCCATAAACATTCCTATACTGTGGATATTACATAAAAGCGCTTGGAGAGGGGTCATAATTTATGAATAGTGACGTCATTCTAGATCCAATATGGCGGCGGCCGCTGACCAGCGATTTATAATTTCTATGGTCACTGCTATGATATGGGTATCAAATGAAAGGGCTTAATGAGTGAACGTCACATAAGATTGCAAAACATCAATACTTTAAAACTCATTTTCGTAGCACTAAAAAGTTATCCCTCTTGATAAATGAATGAAAATCTGTATTGTAAATTTGAAAATTGTACGTGAAACATAATAAGCATATAATGACATTTTAAATTCGATATGGCGATCACCGCAAAATATCGAATTATCATTATGTTATATATGTATATATCGAAATTTTATAATACAAATAAAGTGAGAAGTTTTATGGAGGCCTGTTGATTAAACATAGGAAAGTTATATAGAGATTAATAAACTAGTTATTTGACAGCATGAATACTAAAAAGTGAGAAATAAATAAAATAAAAATAAGCTTTTATTTAGCTGTTCATAAAATGAACGTGACATTTTAATTTTTTCTCTGATGAGAAATATTTAAGCTGCTTCATCTCAAGTTTTCAAATAAAAGATTGTGATGTTTTGACAGCAGGATAGAAAAAGGGTGTGACACGATTTTATTTGATACTTTGAGATAAAGGAGCTTCATTATTGTTCAAATAAATTCCCAGTCGGAAAAAATTATCTTTAAATTCTTAGTTCATTTTATGAGCTAAATGCAAGGTTGTTTTTAGAAATATGCTTATTATTTTATTTATTGTTTTCAGTCCACGGTGACTGTTGGGTTGATCCAAAATCATTTGCGTGTGTACGCAGCCTGGGAAAAGTCACATGCTCTCGTATTATTTCCAACAATGACACAATACAGCAATTAAAAATCCATAACGGTGGAAAACCAATAAGTGATAAAGCACTCAATGGACAATGGAAAAAATACCAGCGACGCCTACATTATAGATATGGAAAGACGACATCGTCCAAACAATGCGCAGAACATAGAGGAGTGGATATTGATTAAATTAAAATGATTAATTCCAAGATGACCCCGATAGGAAAACAATTGAGGAACTGTCAATATCCGCGGAAAATCAATAGGCGCCGGCTCCGGTCGTAGACTGCGATAGATGCTCGCCGCCGGTTATAAAATAGAAGATCTGAAAAAGGAGGAGAATATATGGCTGGATGTATTTTTACTTCTAACGGCGACAGACGCGGACATTTCCTTATTTCAGTTACCCTTCAAACTTGTCCTCAAAATACACTGGGTTCCTTCAAAACTGGCTGAGTCGATACGCAAATAAAAAACTATTAGAAATAGATGACAGGAGCATGTGCATTTGTTCATTTGACATTACATGAGTGAATCTAAGCTCCAATACAGTCAGATAGATAAACGTGCATGAAAGTTATTACAGCCCAACAAAATAGAAATAATGCTTGTGGTGCCGAAAAAGTAATAACCGATCTTAAATATTTCTGAGGCGCTGATTTCAGAAATGTCTTTCATGTTTCCGTAAAAGCTTTAGTTTTCGAGATATAAGCGATTTAATATTTGTGAGAGTGCAGGAGATGCAATTTTCAACCCCGAAAACAAAACGAAAATTTTAATGCTGCCACTGTTTCTGACTGTCTTGACAACATTCCAAAGCATTTTAGGAGGTATTCTTCGTTTTCTATTGCTTATAATTTGCTTACCATGTTTATGGTAAAACCTCGGACTAGCATTAAAAGTTAAAGAATAATAATATATCTTTACTGCCCAACGAAAGAATCCACTTATAGGTTAATGTAATTGAAGCAAAGCATCTTTAACTATAATAATTTCTGAACAGTTTCCTACATATCTTTTTATCGTGATGAACGTCACGACTATCTGCTATAGCCTTTAAGCTGGAGCACATAAAGTAGGACTTAATCATGACATTAGAGTTTGACGTTTTCAAGTAAAATTCGGGAAATTCTGGATGGTATATGAAACTCAATTTTAGCTAATGGAGCTGGAGAGTCTACTCCACTTTGTATGAGTCTGTGAAGAAACTTTTGGTTATTACAAATTCTCCTCAGCCAAAGAGGATGCATTCCAGATCTGACCAACACCGCTGATTGGTCAGTCTCACGGCTGGGGTAAGCACCATTTATTCTTATTCTTTTTTCTGGTGAAATAATAGAACTTGCATCGTTGACAACATTTAGAAATAATTCGAAGGTCAAATTAAGCAGTTAGAGAGGCCTTTCATCCAATCTTTATCGACGGTCTTCGAGAAATCTGTATAAACTACATCCATTTGGCCCCTACTACCTAAAACCCCCGGGTAATTTCATTTAAGATAGAAATATTTGACCGATCGCGCATAAATCCATATTGTAACTAAGTATATACAGGGTGGCGCATCGAAAACGAAACAGACGCATTTACTGGCAGCTCAGTTTTTTTTTGAAAGACGCTCAGACCCGTCGATTTTGTTTTCCAGGGGGACACAACTTTAGCAAAAAATCACGTTAACACGTCCAGCCCCCTGGGCGGGGGTGACACCAACCCTAAAATCTTAAATGGAAAGAGGGATCGAGTGATATCTTATTTTAAAGGTCTTTCATTTCCCTTTATAATGATGTAAAATACATGAGCTACAGTTCAGTAGTTTTGAAGATTTATTGATTTAAAGCTTAAAGTAGACTTTAATAGGTACATCAGATTAGTTTGTACTACTTTCAGAAGAAATTTGACTAAAAGAATTTACTTAATAAGTAAATGCTTTTCTTCACTAGGCTCATGGTTTGTTTATCATTTTGTTGTTGAAAATAGCTATTGGAGCGTTTTTTTGTGACAAAACAGTTATTTCTTGAAGAAAGATAAGGAAGGAAATATCTCGTACTTATTTTAAATAGGAATTTAGTACATATACTAAGTGACATATAAATCCGAACACCCAGTTTAAATGGTTTTATTTTAATAAAAGTTGGTGAATGTATTTATCTCTTTTTATACTGCTTTTTTTTAATTCACTAACGCTCTAAAAATGAATATTTCAGCCTCAGTAAAGAATCAACGTTGGCGGATTTTGGTTCTTGACATCCTTTACGATCGGTTACGATGTCTAGAGTACGGAGACCTGTACGATTTCGTCAACTTAGTGAGTTTGATAGGGGCCGTATAGTGGGACTTCGGGAAGCTGGACTTTCTTTTTTGCTCAATTTGCAACGTCCTCCTCAGACTCTAGAAGCACTTCGAGAGGTGTTGGTGGTTGCCTGGAATGAGATACCACAGGAGGACATTGACCACCTGATCAGAAGCATGCCTAGGCGCGTTGGAGAATGCGTAGCACATCAGGGTGCATCCACACATTCTTAAAGGTCAAAGGGCTTTAAAGCAGTGCAATCATTTTGAAATTTTTATCATTTACTTATTATGCTTCATTAAGTACCTACTTATACAAAATTTTATTAAAATAAAACCATTTAAACTGGATGTTCGGATTTATATGTCACTTAGTATAGTTTGCGATTGATTTGACCAAACTTTGTTGCTAAAGCAATTTGTAACGCTTTATTACATAAATTAACCATGGTATATTCCACAGCAGAAGGAGTTGAAATTATCGAAATATTTTTCGGAAATTATCAGTGCGCTAATAGAACAGCAGAAATATATAATGAGCGACATGAGAACAGTAACGTGCATCGAAAATATGTTCTAGAACTTGTAGTTAAATTTCGGGAAACTGGGTCAGTCGCCAATAAAAAACGCAACATTGAAAATCCCATAAAAAACGAAGCAATAGAAGTGGGGGTTTTAGGGCAAGTTTATGTAGATCCTACGTTAAGTACCCGCAAATTGGAGACTGTGTGTGGTGTTAGTCGACGTACTGTCCAACGGATTCTAAAGGCCCATAGTTTTCAACCGTATAAAATTCACCTGGTACAAGAACTTAATGAAGACGATTTTGATCGGCGATTACAATTTTGTGAAAATATGAGTGAACGAATTATAAACGATGAACATTTTCTATTCAACACTTGCTTTTCCGACGAATGTTCCTTTTTCTTAAATGGTGTAGTAAATCGTCATAACTGCCGATATTGGTCCGATTCTAATCCCAGAATTTATCATGAGGTTCATACACAGCAGCCACAAAAATTAAATGTTTGGGCTGGTATTTTTGGCGATCACTTAGTTGGTCCTTTTTTCTTACCTGGAAATTTGACCGATGAAATGTGTTTGGGATTACTGGAAGACGCCATAGATCCTGCATTAACAGCCATAATTGAAAATCAGGATGATCGGCGGTACATTGCGAATAGGTTGATGTTCCAACAGGATAGTGCCCCACCACATTACGCATTACGTGTTCGACAATATTTAGATCAGACGTTTCCTGATCGGTGGATTGGTAGAAGAGGTGCCATTGAATGGCCCCCAAGATCGCCAGATTTATCACCTTTGGATTTCTTTATGTGGGGTCATTTAAAAAGCAAAATCTATGCGACTCAGCCAACATCATTAGAAGACCTGCGACAAAGAATTGTGAATGAGTGCCTTCAAATTACTCCTCATATATTGCATAATGTGCGGCAACGGTTTGAGCAAAATCTTTATTATTGCATGGAGAGTCATGGTGGCCATTTTCATCACTGACTTGCCTAACGGGTCAGTTCATTCTTCATTTTTAAATTACTTTGCTGCCAAATGTATTGATCTCTACTAATGATATATTAGTTTTATTTAAGCTTTAAATCAATAAATCTTCAAAACTACCGAACTGAAGTACATTAATTTTATCATTATAAAGGGAATTGTAAGACCTTTAAAATAAGGTATCACTCGACTCCCCTTTCCATTTAAGATTTTGGGGGTGGTGTCACCCCCGCTTAGGGGGCTGCACTTTTTAACGTGATTTTTTGCCAAACTTGTGTCCCCCTCGAAAACAAAATCGACGTGTCTGAGCGTTTAAAAAAAACTGAGCTGCCAGTAAATGCGTCTATTTCGTTTTCGATGCGCCACGCTGTATATATATATAAAGAGAAAATGATCATGCGGAGAAGGCTATATAACAAAAAGTAGGAAAATAATGGGCAAAATCTGCAAAAAGGAGGAAAGTGGATTCGAGCAGAAAATAGGATAGGTAACCCGAGCGATATGTAATTCTGCTGGTTGGCTCCATCAGGCCCGAAATGAATGCACATACGAAACTACAAAAGTAGATACACATGCTCACACATCCGGATACATTTCCATAGTATTTTCTTTTCTTTCTAGATTTCTACCGTTCCGTGACGGCATCAGCGCTCCCCAAATTATGTTTCCTTTTTGAATTGTAGGAAAATTCGGGCTGATAAAGCAGATGATGAAAGTCAAAAGCATGAAGTACAATAGGCCGCCTTTCTGAAGGGCAAGAAAAACTGTCAAAATCAGGAGGCCATAAATGCGTACTACAATTTATTGTAAGAACGACTAACGCTACGGCCCTTACTATATTTGGGGCAATTCTTGGAAGTAGATTTTGTATCATATAACCAATTGAGCTCAAATTTTGTAGACATGTTTGGTTTGCGTGACAATACAAAAATGCTGCCATTTTGAATCCAATATGGCCGATGCTACAAAATGGCGATTCATCACTTCATGATATGAGAATCAAATGAAAGGACTTAATGAGATAAATACTATAGGTAAGCAAATAAAGTCATTTTAAATTCCATATGGCGATCACCACAAAGTATCGATTTATCATTATATGATTATATTTATAGATATTTTGTAATACAAATAATGTACGAAGTTTTATGGATGATAAATGAATCCTAGCAGATAATTGACAAAAGAAAAACACTTTAAACGGTGAACAATTCATAGTTGGAATTGTTGCCCAACTCTACAGCACATTTACATTTAAAAACCTACTAGCCTGAGCTGTCGCCATCTGCACGTTACATTTGCTACCCGTCTCATTCCCTTTCAAGATTTCTCGGTACAGTACCGATTATGCACCGCTAGACGGCGCTATGTATCCCTCAATTGCAACATCCGTCGCGTTCCAGATATCTAAATCGTCCTCGCATTCGGCGTATATTTAATCAATAACCTCGAAAACGAGGCTAAAGACGCGAGCTAGAGTCACCGCAAGCGTACCTCGAATGTTTTCGTAACCTTTAAGTGCATTATTTGTGAGAACCCTACGACCTCGGTGCTCCTTGTAGGAGCTGGACCACAGCTGGACAAAGTGCGACCATGGCTGAGGAAAGCAGCGTTGTGGACGGTGGCAACGGAAAAGAAGATACGATAGTGGGGGAAGATGCCGACGTCGGGACGGAAGAAGAAATTTTGGCGGGAGAGGCCGTCGTACCGGAAGAGGAAGTTGGTACTGAGGTTATCGCAGACGATGCCAAATCCATTGACGACGATTATGCAGAAGCTGAAGAAGAAATAGAAGAAAACAAAAGGTAAAGACTCCTTCTCATTATTACTCATGATTCTGTTTTAACTTATACATGCATTGCAAATAACCTGTAAACGGATGAATGAAGATTTAGCAAAAACAACCCCTGTGTCATCAGTTGTTATAGAGTATTATTGCCTTGGTGATGGCTAGCAGGTAAACATTTCTCGGAAATAGCAACGTATACATTATTAATGTGGGTTCCAAGTCAGCTTTGAAGACAAGTAAAATAATAAAAGTTAGCCCCTTATTATTAACAAATCTCTACTCTCAACCTTGGCACAGGTATACCGGTAATAGTGGTATTATTATGTCAGGGTTGTGGTAAAGCACATATACATACAACATGCTATAGGTACCTGCTACCTGCATGTATCAATGTGTGTGCATTTATTTTTATATAACTCTTAACTTCAACATTATTTCAATATAATTTTTATTCATAACTGATTCCCGTACAGGCGCGAAGTTAAAAGTACCATAACTTTGGTATGTGTCAGGTAACCAAATAAGTTCGTGCGGTTGCTGTATATGTATATCGCACATTGTCATGGATGTTGTTGATTCGATAGCGATTGTTACCTGTTGTCACTTTAGTATGAATCCTTCTTTTCTCACACATATAAAAAGTTTCTGAAAATTGTTACATACCTAGTTTTAATAATTGAAAATGGCGACGAATAAAACAGTAATTCGAAGTTGTTTACTGTGTGAGTACAAACTTGGTACAATGTCCCGCATTCGGAGATGATGTCGTTAGTGATCGAACAGCACAGAAGTGGTTTAAAAAATTTTCTTCGGGAGATCTCAGTTTGAGCGATCAACCGCGCTCAGGGAGAGCAAAAATCATGAACAACGAGGATCTTCGACAGGTTGTGGACGCAAATTCCAGGACAACGTGCCAAGAACTTGCAGAAATGTTCAGAGTGAGTCCTGAAACTATTCGTTTGCATCTTCATCAGTTAGGAAAGACGTGGAAGTTAAGTAAATGGGTCCCACATGAACTCACAAATGATAACAAATTAAGTCATCTTACCATTTTTTTAGCAAACATTTCACGCAACGCTAATGAACCATTTCTTAATCGGTTATTTACCTGCGACGAAAAACGGATCTTGTATTCGAATTTTAAGCGTTCGTATCATTGGTTGTCGCCTATTGATCCGGTACCACACACGCCCAAGGCTTCCTTGCGCCCAAAGAAGGTTTTGTTGTGTGTTTGGTGGACAGCAACTGGAATTGTCCATTATGAGTTTTTGGAAAAGGGTGAAACCATTTCTGCTAACTTGTGTTGTGAGCAGCTTCAACGAGTACAAGCAGCACTCATCCAGAAACAGCCTTCTTTGATCAATCGGAAGAAAGTGATTTTCTTGCAGAATAACGTCAAATTTTCTGAACTCAGCTGGGAAACGGTACCACACCCGCCATATTCTCCCGACATTTCGCCCAGTAATTATCACCTTTTTGTGTCTCTTGACAACTGTATGAGGCACCGACAACTCGAGGTGGTGTAATAAACGCAGTCCGCCAATTTTTTTACTCCAAATCCGGGCAGTTCTACAATACCGGCATACAAAAATTGGTTCCTCGTTGGCAAAAGGTCATTGAATGTGATGGTAATTACTTCTACGAATAAATAGTGTCTTATTGTTTCTCAATAAAAATTTATATTTTTCTACTAAAAACCGCACGAACTTATTTGGTTACTTGATACTTTAAACGTCTTCCTTAATAGCCGACACTTATTTACATCAACATTTTTAAATTAAATTAATATTTCATATTTATTTTAAAGATATCGTAAATGTATGGGTCTGTTTAATACGATTATCAAATTCTCAAAGGTTTCCTAATCACTGCGTAAACAGATCCTAAGTTACTTTTACAATGCACAATGTCTTTATCTAAATAGCATCCTATCCTGATGATAGTCTTCTGTCTCAACAACAGAATCATGAAAATAATACAAAATCTACCCTATTCGACCCATTCGGACCTCGGGACCCTACTCTTCTATATCCGTGTTACTTTAAAGACGAGCTAAAGTTAATAGTCCAGGCCAGATAGAAAAGGTAAAAAAAGCTTAGCAGAAAGAAGAAAGTTTTAAATGGAAGCGGGTCTTTCTAATGAAAAATACATAAAGATATACAGCCAGGTATGCGTTGTTTTTTATAACCAATGGGAAAACCTCGAAATTCAGCATTTTGTTTCTATAATTTCCAAATTAAATTTTATAAATAATCGGTAAACTGGAGATTTTAGAGCATAAAAAGACCTTCAATTTTTTTAAGAATTAAAATTGATGAGCAATTATGTTAAATATGGAGCTTTTTAGCAATATTGAATAAATGTTTATAATTATTAATTATTGCAATAACAATTGTAGATGGCTAAAAATTTCTCAGCATGAGGGAATCATTGGTGTTAACAAGACTGCTAAATTTCATCGAGATCGGTGAACTTGCCTAAGATATGGCCCTAGAACATTTTACAAAAGTGAAATGGGTTCTTGAAGGTTTAAACTTCAAGAATTTAGACAAAAAATTATCATTTTATTCCATAATTGTTGTTAAAAAGATATTAAGAAAATAGCCATTTTTATAGTTATAAACATTTACGATAACGCCGTTGTTTTTCAATATAGTTTATTTTATTGATCTGGATATGTGGTTAATAAGCACTTATTTATTAAAAAAACCTTCTAGGACCAATAGGTAACAATTCATATCTCCTTTTGCACAGATTTTAATAAAGGATCTTAATTTTATGATCCAATTTAGAATTTTACTATTAGATCAAAAGTCTTTAATAAATAATATTATGTAATAATAATAATCCTGTTACGATTACCTATTCATGGCCATGGTCTACTTACTGGGCGATGGAATCAGAGATGAAAGGCTTCAATCTTTTTTCGAAATTCTTTATAGTGAGTATAGAGTATAGTGAGTGAGATTGGTAGGCAACGCATTGTATAGCTTAATAGCAGTATATACCCTGTATGTATACCCTGTTCATTTGAAAACTTCGCACCGCGGATTTATCGAAAATTACTGATTAAAAGAAGAAAATGCCGAGACACGTCAAAAGGTTTGTTAAGGAGACAACTTTTTAACCAAAAACTACTTCACCTCTTTTCACCCTCGCCTCCCCCCAGGGTCAATCACTTAAAAATTTTAAATGACAAGGGATATCGAGTAATAGCTTATTTGAAAAGTATTTTGAAGACCTTCATTTTGACGTTTGATTTGCTAAAATCGGTCGGAAAATTGGAAAAATCTTTGTTTATCTTAATTTGTTCAGACAGAAAACAAAAACACACGAAAATATTACTTTTCATTTCAATAAGTGTTCAAAATGTTGCCCATCTACAATTCGTTTATAATTTAAAACGGAAACTACCAACATAAACAGCAACAACCAAATAACAACCCGAATTTTTTCTGCATTATTTTCATCTTTACAGGTGCCCTGGGCGAACTGTATTTATTTTTATACCTGTTTAGTTATTTGTTGCTAAGGGAAATAAAGAATTTAATTTGCTGTCAGTTACCTTTGTGACAATCCTGGAATAGTGAAAATTAAGTTATTGATTCTGATGTTACTTCCAAACTGGTTTACACACTAGCTGGAAGAGTGTAAATGATTCTAATTTACGGTGCCCAAAATCAATGTGCTCGACATCCGGGGAAGATAACTTCGCGTAGGCATGTTTTGGATCGTGTTACTAAACTTACTCAAACTGGATCTGTTGCAAATGAAAGACGTGATCATCGGGGAGTTTTGGATTAAGCCGCTCAAGTTGACGTTTTGGGTCATTTTGGAATATATCCTAATTACGCAAAATTGTTGCTGCGACTGGTATTTCAGTAGGTTCTCTGTACACACAGTTACTAAACTCCATAAATTTCCTCCATTGAAAATGAAAATATTGAAAGAGTTAACCGAAGATGATTTCGATAGGCGAGTTGAGTTTTTTTAACAAATGCTTTTGTAGAAGGGCATACCCAGTACCCCCAAAAAATTAATGTATGGGCAGACATTTTAGGAAACAGAGTGATTGGGCCATTGTTGATTAATGAAAATTTGAATAGAGACATTCATTTGGATATGTTGGAAAATACCATCAATCCGCTTATCACTGAAACAATTGAAAGCCAAATCGAAGAGGATGGAAACCCTATACTTGATGAGGCTGAAATATATTTCCAGCAAAACGGCGCTCCTCCTCGTTATGTTCTTCCGGTTCGGCAAAGGCTAGACGACGAGTTTCCGGATAAATAGATAGGGCGACGAAGACCTGCTAGATATCTTAACTTGACGCAATTAGACTTTTTTCTCCGGGGCCATTTGAACTCTATTGTGTTTAATCCTCAACATAAAAATTTGGATAAACTTCGTCAACGCATCATCGAAAGCTGCCATGATATCCCACAACATGTTTTTGAAAATGTCAGGAATGTGAACATTGCCTATATCATTGTTTGACCAATAACTGGCATTATTTAGAACACTTTTTGAAATAAAAAGTGATATTTTCGTTTGTTTTTGTTTTCTATCTGAACAAATTAAGAGAAATAAAAAAATTTATAATCTTCTTGAAAACAAATCGACCGATTTAAAAAATCAAACGTCAAAATAAAGGACTTCGAAAGACCTTTCAAACAAGTTATTACTCGATGCCCCTTGTCATTTAAAAATTTTAAGGAGATAACCCTGGGGGGCAGATGGTGGAATGGGATGAAGTAGTTTTTGGTTATAAAGTTGTCCCCCTTGACAAATCTTTTGACGTGTGTCTCAGCGTGTTTTCTCTTAATCAGTGGTTTTCGATAAATCCGTGGTGGGGGTTTTCAAATAAGCACCCTGTATGAAAGACCTTTCAAATATAGATGTAGAATGTTTCGAGATAATTGAGAGATGCTTATTCTTTGTATTGAGTTTATTAATATCTGAGTATCTGAAAAATTTGCTTGATAGATATGGAGAGGTTTGTGTTGTGATTAC